ACGGAAAATTTTTAAAATAGGAAAACCGACAGTTTTTCGTGATTTTTGGCTTATTTATTGTAGGCCATTAAGTATAAACATTGGCTGACTCAAAAACTTAGTGCACTATTTTAAGTTCCATTGTCAAAATGGTGATTCGTGGTCCGGAAAATTATGAAAAAGGGAAAACGGTTGTTTTGCTGATTTTCGACAAGTTTTAGATCAGTAACCGAATGCTTGACTAACTCAAAAACCTACTCTATACACATGCACGTGGATTATGTTTTTGAGGCAGCGAAACTATGAGATCCTACTCTAAAAATGTCTAAAACTGAAAAAATTGGTGAAACTGCGATTTTTCCGATTTTCTACGATCTTCTGGACAAGAAATCCTTATTTTGACAATAGAACTGGAAAGAAGGAAACTGATACATAGGTATACACAGTGAGTTGCAATATTAGCCAAGTATTCCTTTTCTCGTGAAAAATGTTAAAAACTGAAGAAAACCAGCGAAAATGTGGTTTTTCCTATTTTCGCATTTTTCTAAAACAAATCAAAATCATAGGTGAAATCGGAAAAAAAATGACAAAAATGCATATGTTTGTTGTTTTTTTATATTAGCCAGCGTATAATATTCTACGTTGGTTGGGTAAAAGTAGAGTTTGAGTAAAGTATATGTTGGGTTGGGTTATTATATTTCGATGAACATACAAGTATGAACCCGTAGCGTTGAGTAATGAGAAGCTTATCATAAGAGGCAGTGCATTATTGATAACTTGCGTATTTCATATTTTTTATTGAAAGGTTTGATTCATGGAACACCGAAGAATGAAAAAAGTTTTAGTATTTCCATTTTCTTCATTTTCAAATGAGCTATTTATTAATATACAGGTATCTCCGAATGATAAAGTAAAAGATCATAGTTTGAGTGGAGAAGTCAATTTTGGAACCTGATGCTGTATCTGATGGCTAAACCACAAAAACACTCGTTTCCGTATCCGCGCATGTCAAGTATTTTCTACTGATTTCCTCGAGGCGGGTCATAAATCTAGGCAATGTAACCTCAGTCTTCAGGAACGCAGCGAAATTTTAACTCTAGTCTTCGATAAACGTCTAAAGTGAAGTTATACTTGAAGGAGTCAACTCGAGTTGATGCTATGGACGCACCCGCACCTCAGAGTGTATGTAACCTAGGACAATCACCATCATAAGCAACTCTCGTTACACTGACATTTTTCTATAATTTTTCACATTATTCTTACATTCTCTAGTCTACGTATGTGAATCCCAAAGCCTGCTTACATATTCTGAGACACTGTATGTAAGCATTCATTACCAGAAAATATACCCAAGCCAACTCAAAGCCATATCTCGATGAAAATACTACCGTCCTTAGTTTCTGAAAAATTCTGGGAATACAAGATCTTAGGAATAATTAAGAGGAACGTTCAATGGTGATCTTTCATTGGTACGTTAATGACATACTTAAGAATAAATATTTTTTTTAAGTAAAATTGAGTCTGTTTTTATTTCTTCTTTTATTACGATCCTAGTTGGCAAAAGAAATTGTCAATGAACGTGTAAATACAGTATATCCTTTGGCATCTTCTTAGAAAATAAGTTAGTCGATTGTGTAACCCAGGATGATGATGCTATCCAGAAGAGGGCTGTCCGACTGATCGATGACTCTTCTCTAACAGACGGTTTCGAGACCCTTTCGCGGGTCGTCGGCTAGCTTTCTTCAACCGCTACACCAACAGGCTTTGCTCCTCAGAGCTCTCTTCCATAATGCCGCCGCGCTATATGCCTGCCAGACAGACCCGCCTGACTTTAGCGTCCCATCCTAATCGTGTTGAACTTAGTACATCCAGAACTAGCCGATACGACCGAGCCTTTGTCCCGAGAGTATCGATATTCCGTACCAATCTACAAGAGGATGCTTTTCCCAGTTCTTCTAATCTTAGGCAGTTCAAAAATCGAATTAACAAAATTTCTTTTGGATCATCATAGCAGCCGCGCTGTCTCGGCTTTAGGCTTCTGCCTGCGCAGCTGCTTCGATATAAAAAAAACACATAAGTGACATTCTTGTGTACATAGGTACAGACAGACACATATGTACGTTCACGTCCTTATAATCTACACCCGCATTAAAGTGTTTTCTGTTTACCATATTTATAATTCAATAAATTTTGTTTTTACTGCTGGTAACTACCAACGGTACTAGACGATAACCATACTTGAGTAAAGTGAGAAAGTGCTTGTATGCACGAATTTAATGCGAGTTTTGTTGATACAGTGAATTTAGAGATAGAATTTGCAATTATTTGATTTAACTTCTGTGACTAGCAATACCTCAAGCTTTTTGATGGTGTGAAATATCCATAACCACGTTTAGTTATTTGTCACAGCGTATTTCACTAATAACAAACTGTTTTTGGACACGCATTTGACTGTGTGACAATAAAATGTTGAAACGAAAATTCTTCGAATTGTAGGGTACTTTAGCACTATAAACTTATCATTATCATCATCCACACTCCTAAAAACAGTTTGAGCTATAGAGAAATAACAATAGCCTCGGAACTCTTAATATCACCGACGCTCGATATTTTACTAAGGGGCTGTTCAAGTATTACGTGGGCACTATGGGGGGGCGGAGGGGTTCTTTGCTTTGCTAATTTTGGATGACATGGGGGGTAGGGGGGTCTAGATGATGATTACGTCATCGGTAGTTATTTACTTTTTTACACAAATGGCAACCCTCACATTGCCTTTGCTTGAAATCGAAACGCATTTTCGGGGATTCCCGCAAATAATGCATACGTTTAGTGAACAGCGCGCGGTAATTCCCCTACTCGCTTTAGAACCGAGTAGGGGAATTACCGCGCGGTGTTCACTTGTCTAAATTTCCTCTATCAGTGTATTGTTTTGTTTGGATACTATAGCGAGTAGACGTATTGTAAGCATAGTAAAGCAAGTTAACATTTGTGTTACCATTGATTCCATTAGCCAAAGTTTAATGTTTAAATAAGATGTCGTTTCACAGAGAAAATCCAAGTTATACCAAAAATTGTTTGAAAGTTTTAAAAAATCTCATACAAGTACGAAGGTACAAAATGTACAAAAGTTAGTTAACGAAGTGTGGCGAAATTACAAATTACAAGCAAAATCCGACAAGGAACTAGATATTGTATCCAAGAGAATCGATGAAGAATTGCAAGCGGCGACTAAGAATAAATCCAACCTACTAAATTTTTTTTCTAAGGTGAGTGACAAAACTATTTTAGGTACCTATGAGTACTAGAAATATTAGAAATCGCCAAAACGTTTCTCTCTACTGATTAGAAAATATTATGGCCTATCTCAAAGTATAGAGGTAATATTCATTATATATATGATAGATTTATTTCTTATGATTGATTCCGTCACAAAGTACAGGATGTTAGTTTTATACATATATACAGAAAACTAACACCCTGTATTTTGTGACCGGAACGAATTGCTTATTTCAACATATTAAATTTAAAGCCATAGGGTTTTTTATTTACCATATATATTGCATTACTTTGTATTTATGTAGCTTAATAAGAGAATCTTTAACAGAAGCCATAGAAAGTTTTTATTTTTAGGCAACCTGTAAACCTGCAGGAAAAACACAAATTATACAGTTAGCTTCAAATATTAAAAAAGAGGAAGAAGATAAAATAAAACCCGGTAATGAATCAAAACAGCAATGCGAAATTAATAATAATACAGATAAACAGAGAGCAAAGCCTTCTCAGGAAGCTATGAAAATAAGATTGCTCTACTCGAAAAAATCTGAATGCTTTGTATTCTGCCAGAGATGCCAAGCCGTGCTGAAATTGATAAACAGATCATTAAGTTGCGCGAGGAAATAGAAACAGCAAAACAGTCTTTAAACAGGAAGGTTCAAAACGCAGTTGCCCAGACGAAACACAAGGATGGTATGAAAAGAATATTAGAAGATATTTGTCATGAAAATCCAGAAATAAAAAAAAACTATCTCTGAGGGATTCAGTGGGACGTCCTAATATTGAAAGCAATCAACATTCACTATTGAAAACAATCGCGAATATAGCTTTATTTGGGAGTGCAGCAGATGATAGAAGACGAACGGAATCAATTCGCAGCGTAAAAACTCTTGATGAACTCACACAAGAATTACGTAAAATAGGATTTGACATTAGTCGCAGTGGGACAGATCTTCGTTCGATTCCCAGAAAATCTAATTCTGCAGAGGGACGAAGACATGTATCGACAGTCCCTGTTAAGCTCACACACAAGAGCCACTTAGATAGCAAGTTCGCTGAAACATCAATCCATTATTCAGAGAACATAGCATCCATACTTGGACCAGATCAAGTATTTTTCATATCTCAAGATGATAAAGCTCGAGTCCCTATTGGCGTAACTGCGGCAAATAAGCAAGCACCTCTTCTAATGCACATGGAATATAGAATCAAATTGCCTGATCACGATTGGGTAATCGCTGAGCGTCATAAATTAATACCATCTGTTTATGCTGGTATCAAAATCACTTCCAATATGCTAGGACAACCGCAAGCCGTTGGATATTCTGGACCAACATACATCGCTATTCGAAGTGGAAAGCATAGTTCATCTACTGCTAATACTCATGCTCAGGATTTCGAGACGCTTCTCGAACGTGAAGAGTTTCGACCATTAGCTAAAACTGACCATGGACTAGTAAAACCAGTGGTAATCATGATGGTTGATGGAGGGCCAGATGAAAATCCACGTTATTAAAAAGTCATAGGGTTTGCTGTACAACACTTTAAGCGACATGATCTCGATGCATTGCTTTTAGCTACCAATGCTCCTGGAAGAAGTGCGTATAACAGAGTAGAGCGCAGAATGGCTCCTCTTAGTCGGGAACTAGCTGGTTTAATATTACCTCATGACCACTTTGGGTCTCATTTCGATGAACGTGACGTTACAATTGATGAACATTTAGAAAGATCTAATTTCGAATTTGCAGGAAATGTATTAGCTGAAGTATGGAGTTTAATGGAAATTGATGGCTATAATGTTAATGCAAAATATGTTGGGGCAGGTGAACAAAATCTTCCTGATTTTCTAGACATTAAATGGTATCCAGAACATGTGCGTGAGAGCCACTACTTGCTTCAAATGGTAAAATGTAGAAATACAGAATGCCGTCGCCCAAGAAGTGGCCTATTTAGATTACTAGACAATAGGTTTCTTCCACCACCTGTAAAAGTAAAGCAAACAGTTGATGACTTGGTTTTGGATGAAGGAGGGCAATGTCTTAATCTTCCAGTCAATTTAGCTCTACGCTTAAGTGCTTCACTCAAAGATTTCCTGCAAATGGCCTACGATTATTTTTGTCCGACGGTAAAATTGAGGCTATCAAGTCGAACATGCAAAACGTGTGGTCTTTATAATACTTCCGTCAAGTCACTAAATCGTCACATCGAAAATATCCATAAAAAAGTAAACACGCACACTGATAGGAAATTTAGACCTGTAAGAGTCGCTGCTCGTCGTGCTAATGAACTGATGTATTATTCAAAATTTAGAGCACCATGATGTTGAATGGCTCGATGAGAATGACGTAGACATTCCAAAATCCGATGAAAGCGAGCAAACTCACAACACTGAGCAGCAATCGAAGCAATCCAATGTCATCGAAAACTTAGAATCATGGATTCGGGTTTCATGGACTGAAGACTGTTAATTTGAATTTAATATATATACCAAAAATTTAAAATAAGTTTGTTATGTTAGTATGATATAATATTTTTGTCTTTTACTCTATGTTGAATACCGTATTAGTAAAATATACTCTCTATCCTAAATCTATTTTCTTATTTTTCAAATTTTAATTATAACGTTATAATTATAATATTAAAAAAAATAATCCATTAATTGGCAAATGTTTACGTAAGCATGGGGGAGGGGGTAAGAGCTTCGCTTACTTTCGCTGACGAGGGTGATGGGGGGTAAATAATTGTAATAAATCTGCTTACGTAATACTTGCCCCTAAGGCATTATTTTGACTGTTTTGATCTGGGATGGCTTATTGATATATTCGTTATTTATGATCAGCCTGTTTAATGAAGAATAAGAACCTAAATCTAACACTTATTCAGTGGTTGGTGTGGCTCTGCATGTTTTGGTCGATACATAAAATCATATATGTTCAACAAGCCACTTTTCTAACTCCTCGCTAGCGAGGAAGTATTGTAACCACGAAAAATCTCGAAAATAAAATCTGATGTTTTTGGATGTTATATGATATGTACATTACGAAAAACTATGTCACTTACTTTCGTCTGTCTGTCGGTATGTGTCTCTCATTCAGATGAAATTTTCATATAAAGTTACTTCTATGGCAAGAACGAGAAAGCTTCGTAGATTTTTAAAAGCTGTCCAATGGAGGCCAGTTAGGATGTACGAAGTTCGACACGGTTGGAATGCGAAAAAAATAAAAATTCTATAATTAGCGTTTCATTCGCTAACCACGAGAGGACATATATTTGGGTCCTAACCGATTTATAACGGTAATTAGATAACAACGGGGTCAAAGGTGTCATAACCCCTTTGGGCGATTCTAGTATGACCACTAATATTTATGACTTTCGAATCTCATTGATGAATTAAATAAAATAAGGGGTTTTTACAAATATGTAATGGATACAAATGGGTAAAAAATCACCAATGTGGTGAAAAAACACTACTCCTCGGAACCCTGATCAATTTGTAAGCGCATCTATAATGGCGAGGAAGTAGGAGGGTTGCGTAAGCTTGGTTGCCTATACGTTCAGCTTGACGCAAATATAAAGAAAATAATGATTCTGCATTATTCGGCTTGATAGCACCGTATTTTCGTAAGTGCATTATTGGTAATCGAGCTTCATGTGTTCTGTGATTGAGGTTGTTAATTGAAAGTTCAGACCTTTGGACAGAGATATAATACAAAACTGTTCGCGTGCGCCTTTAACGCTGTGTGCAAATTTGATAAAAATGCTTTTTGACAGATTAAATCAAAGTTAAGCATTTTCGTTTGGTTGAATGGAGATGGTAAGTGGTAAGCATCATAGTTATCGAACCGTAAGAGTGTTCAAATCTCGTTCTCTTCATCTATTAGCTCATAAACATAGATACTACTTCATATACATACTTAATTTAGTCATAAACAGGGTATTTCCCAAACACGGGACAAGAGTTCAATGTGTGGCTCTTGGAACTATCTGTATTTGATCCTCTTGATTCCGAAGAAGCAGGCTCTTGAAGGAGACGTCGTTGGAAATCATTGTTTTTTTCTAAATACTTTTCACATGCCATCGCTAAAGCTCTAACATCGCGTGATTCAAGAAATGTGTATATTAATGACTTAAAAATAATACTTTTGGAAATTGGAACGTACCTCCTGCTGACCGTTCCATCAATGTAATGTTACCTGTGTTGTTTCAAAAAAATTTAATGATAAAACTGTTTGATTTCCACAAACCAATCGTCTTTAAGAAAATAAATCCGTGGCTTTTAGGTCACTGGAGACGGACCTGTTATGAGAATTAACAAAATTTTCAATACGAGGGAACCAGTATTCGGAAACGATTTCATAATTTATAAAACTTTAAAAAAATACTAAGGCTGTTTCAGTCCAAAACCCCAGTACGATTCATTATTTTGAGACATATTCCCTGAACATGAATCCTGTGGACCTCCCATACACAAATGCTGGATATGCCCTAGACCGGATTTTGAACCACATTCATAATCACAATTATAATATTGATGTATAGACAATATATTCTGTTCATGTAAAAAACATGTATTTGTATAGTTAGTTGTTGAGGTGTCCTTTTTGGAAGAACTTCCACTTTAATTTGTTTTTATATTTATAGCGAACCTGTTCTGTGCACGCTCTATATGAAAATATTATTTTCGTAGATGGCGCTGCGCGGCCCTTGTTCGGCAGCTGATCTTTCGCCGGTCTTGATTTATTTCCTACCGATGTTGTCCGTGAATCCACTGAATGCTATTTGCGTGCAGAGATGGCAGTGTACACAGTTTTCGTGACAAGTTTGCACTTTCCACGTGATTATTCGCACTAAAATACAGAAGACTGCTCATCGGTTGTACAAATAAATATTCCTGAAGGTCTTTAGCTTTACTGAAGTCCTGAAGTCATGTAGGCAATAAAAAACTCAAGTCAGGTCAAGCATTAACGTTGCAAGTAATTTTATTTTCAGTCAAGTAGCTTATGAAAATATCAAGTTTAGGATTCATAGAAATTTCGGCTCGCTAACTTGACCCATTCAAAAAAAATACGTAGAGGATTGATGAGTGCTTAATGATAAGACTTCATCTAAACGAACAATAAAAAGCTAATATACAAATGTAACATAGGGAGGTAACGTAACATTGCTATTTTTCTCGCGACAGTATCCTACCAGAGCGCGAGAAGTAAAAAACGGCACATGCATACCAACCTATCATTAATTGTTAAATCAAAAATAGATAAGAGTTCTGAGAAACAATAAATAATCTTTTGTCATGCATATCTATCTCCCGTTATGCACATTTGCGAAAACATGACAGCATTAGATGGAATTAATTGAATTGATACACGCCCTCAATGAAATTAACTATCTTACCGGAGAAATGTCAGCTATTTGTCCACATTTTTCCATTGGCGTAACATTTCTTGGGGAAAAAATGTTTGGAGTCAAGGGGCCTTTCCAAAATATGAAGAAAAAGATAATAAGGTATTTCAAGTACCACCACTACTACTACTAATCTGTTTTGCTCTATGATGATTAGATATAATTCTGCGCAAAGATCCGTTATAATAAGAAGTCCATCTCTCGGACCCACATAGAAGACACAAAAATAATCCAAATTCCAATAGAAATCGCCTCACGTGGCTTCGGGTTCTAAATAACTTTTGAACAACGTATAATTCAATTTTGAGAGCAGTCATCTCACAAATAGAGTTGTATTTCTTTGAGCATAAATAACACTTCGATCGTTAGCTCTGAATGCCTGTATACGAATAAGACATTGTATGAGAAATGTTAGTCTTCAAGTTTGTACAAAACAGTTATTTCTAAACGTTCATCCAAAACTGTTTATGGTGAAACACTTTTTTTAAAGCATTTGATGTAGGGCTGGATATTATTTTGCAAAAGTATTTTTCAAACTATATATAGGACGATCCACGCAACCGGATCGTAGTCATGACCATTAAAATCAAGGAAAAAAATGAAGACGCAGGTGGATAAAGGTATCCATGTAACATTTTTTTATATTCATTTTTTGCATTAAACTAAGCTTAAGGAGTGATTGTTTCATTCTGTGAATAGTTTATTGCAAAAACAAAATAATAACAAACCAACCAAACTAAATATTTAAAATGCCAGTAAAGTAAACAGTCCGAATAGAAAACATTTATAGTCAATTTTCCCCATTAAATGATTTTATTACATGTCACCTTCATCCACTTGTGTCTTTAATTGACTCAGTGCTTATTTCTATGGTTAGGTCCGCTTTCAAATGCCAAGTGCGCCTTTGAGAAATTCAATATGGCGAATCCAATATGGCGGCTGAAAGCAAAAGAAATCTCGAGTATCTGCCAAAAATGGTTGTAAGATTGAAGTTGATACCCGACTATTTAAAATCACTGGATTCTCATAAAATTTGATATACGAGTGTTTTTATGTCGCTGATTACAAATCTAATGTGAAATTCACAAAGTTCAAAACAACGGATCTAACATGACGGCTAAAAGCAGAAGGAATCTCGAGTATTCGCCAAAAAAGGTTGTAAAATTTGAAATTAGTATTGCTTTTGGCTAAAAATGTTCAGGATCAACACTCTTAAAGGCGGATCGAAAATTTATATTATCCGAGATTTCTCCTGCTTTCTGTCGTCATAATGGATCCGCCATTTTGGGTTTTGTGGATTACCCATTAGATTTTTTTTTATATGTCGGAGCAGCCGCGCAGGCAGAAGCCTAAATGCCGGAACACCGCGGCTGCTATGATGATCCCAAAGAAATTTTATTAATACGATTTTTGAACTGCCTAAGGTTAATAGAACTGGGAAAAGCTTCATCTTGTAGATTATTCTACAATCTCGACACCCTCGGGACAAAGCAGCGGTCGTATCGGCCGGTTCTGGATGTACGAAGTTTGACACGGTTAGGATGGGACGCCAAAGTCAGGTGGGTCTGTCTGG